GGTGGGGTAGTGCAAATTAATCATCAAATCCTGAGCAATAAACAATCAAACAAATAAATCTAACTTTCAAACAGCTAAAGACATTGTAGATAGGCCAATACCAACAATAGTGAACGGTGTGACTAGGGTCAAGAAACATGGAAAATCAAATCAACAGTACAATGATTACATCGAAGGTAACATAGATGAAGTGCAAAAACTTGAGAAACACAGAGTCCTGATACTCGGGGATAGTCATGTGAGAGGATGTTCAGACTTAATAAATATGAAGTTAAGTAAAGAGTTTGGTGTCAGTGGAATTGTGAAACCAGGAGCAAAATCCAGAGACATCCTAAATACCAATATTGAGAAAAGCATGTCAAAGGACGATGTTATAATAGTGTGTGCTGGCAACGACGACATTAGCAAGAATAGAGCTAGGGAAGGAATAAGTAGCATAATTAGCTTTGCTAAAAAGACCAGTCACACCAACATTATTGTAATGGAAGATCTACGCAGACATGACCTGGCTGATTGGTCATGTGTCAACAAAGAAACCATATGATTCAACAGACTTCTAACAAGAGGGCTCAAATTACATAAACACGTAACAATCAGCAAGGTAAATCTAAACAGACATCATTTCACAAACAATGGCCAGCACATGAATTACAAAGGAAAAGAAAGACGTGTCAACAGATAGCACAATTGGTACAACGAAAGGTTGCGGCAAGAGCCAATAATGCTATACCACTAGAATACAAGGAGGGAACCGTGCATGAAGAGCCCATGTCAGGAAAACACAAGGAGGAAACTGTCCATGAGGAGAATGCAGAAAGCCAAAGGAATGAAGCTGATGAAACCTTTGTCGACCCATCCCCCAACAGTGTGGCACCACTGGAAGGAAAGCAACATCAGGAAATTCGGATGTTAACTAGGAAAAGGAAGCTCCCAGAAAAGCTAAGTAAAGATTTTTATAGATACGAATAGTACTGGTACTCTCAAGAATACTAATAAAATATGTTCAACCATCCAGTTATTACATCAAAACGTTAGAATCGGATATACTCTGTATCACTGAACATGGGTTGGATGAAAGAGAAATAGGTTATTATAACTTTGAAAACTATTCCTTAATATCAAAATTCTGTAGGAAAAATAAATTTCATGGAGACTCTTGCATTTATGTTAAATCTAGATGCAAAACCCTGTAACCTGTTTGAAAGCTTAAATCAAGAAGAACACTTTTGAGGCCAGCACAATTGAACTTTTACAATTTAATACTATCATAATCTGTATATATAGAACCCCTAATAGCAATATCAACATATTTATAAAAAACTTGGACACAATACTTAGCAATCTGACCAATAAAGGAAAGAACATTATTATAGCAGGAGATCTCAATGCAGATTTTCTAAAAAGAATTGTAAATCCACAACGACAGACAATGCTAGACTCATATGGCTTGCAAGCAATAGTTGATGTCCCAACAAGAATAGGACCTAAAAGCCAAACAGTCATAGACCAAATAATACTAAACAAGGGCTTGTGGGAATACAACTTTAAAGTGGTGGAAACAGGTCTCTGACCATAATGCCCAAATACTACAAGTACAAATGCTTTATAAGAACAAAAAAGGACAAGGTAGACTAACCAAAGAGTTCAGATTAGCTAGATCTTATAGTGAGGAAAACGTACAATATCTAAACTATTTACTAGGAAAAGATACCTTGGAGCCTATTCTTAAACAAAATGAGGCAAATGATGCATACAATGAATTTTTAGGCATCTTTCAGTACTATCACAATATACCTATGCCTAAAAAATGGGTAAAAATTAAGCATCTGGGAACAAATCAAAAGCCATGTGGGATTTAATAAAAGAATTAGGCAATCAGCAAAAAGTTCCAAAGAACATTGAATTAAGAGTGAATGGAACAACTATACAGGATCCAAAAGTTATAGCCAATGTTTTTAATGAATACTATACTAACATTGCCCAGCACATCCGAAGTAACAATCTGACAGCACAAAACAATGAAGACAGGATAAACACAATAAAATACAATAGCAATAGCATGTTCTTAACCCCAACCACTGAAAGGGTTGGTCTGAAAGGTCTACCACTGGTAGACATAATTAAAACACTGGGTAACAAAAAATCAATGGTCACTGATGATATTCCAGAGTTAATTATTAAAAAATGTCATCCTCAACTAGTAAATGCTCTAACATAGATAATAAATCTGTCATTTCCCCGACCAACTAAAAATAGCAAAAGTGAAACCCTTGTATAAGAAAGCTTGTACTGCAGATGTTGGGAACTACAGGCCAGTGTCATTAATTTTGTTTTCTTTTTTCTCAAATCGAAAAAATTATGGACAATAGACTTTTATCACTCATAAATAAGTACAGCATAATCAACAACAAACAACATGGATTCTGCAAAGGAAAATCAACACATACAGCAATCACAGAATTTACAAAAAGGGTTTACAAAGCACTAGATGAAAAAGAAATGAGTATAGGGATATTTTTGGATTTATCAAAAGCGTTCGACCTAGTAGATCATGATATATTGCTAAGTAAGATGGAAAGAATAGGAATACAAGGGGTTACACTAAGGTGGTTCCAAACATACTTAGAAAACAGAACAAGTGGTAGAAATTACATACAGATGCAAAAAAATTAATCGTAACATTAATTACCTATCCTGAAAGAGACCCATCAGCTATGGCGTCCGACAAGGTTCCGTTCTGGGACCAGTGTTGTTTCTGTTATATATAAACGACCTGGAGGCCAGCATAGAACATGGGAAACCTACCTTCTTTGCCGATGATACTAGCATTTTTATAGCGCTAACGAAATTCAAAGGAAAACAAATGAAACAATAAACAAAATCACAGAGTGGTTTGAGAGGAATCGATTAACTATTAATAAAGACAAAACAGTAGCAATAGCCTTCCCTCATCCTCAAAAACTACTACTTGAATGCCCTCCAATAAAGATTTATGACACAGTTATCAACTACACAGATACTCAAAATTTCTGGAGTCTGGCTAGATAAGCATCTAAGACGGACTATGCATACGCAAAAGCTAGCGAACAACTTATGTAAAGTATGTTTTGGCCTAAGGGTAGTTAGAAGAGTAACTGGACTAGAGACTGTCCGCACGTTATATTATGCTCATTTCCAATCTTTGTTATCATATGGACTGATATTTTGGGGCAACTCGGTAAATGCAAAATTGATCTTTAAATTACAGAAGAGAGCTATAAGAGCTATGACCCAGGTCCCAAAAACGACTAGTTATAAACAAATTTTCAAATCATTACATATATTACCTCTACCATCTTTGTACATATATGAAACTCTAATATACATAAAATCCAATTCGAATGATTTCACAACCAACTCAGGATTACACTCATACAGCACAAGGAAAAAAGACAACTTGCACGTCATCCCATGTAATACAAGTCTATGCAAGAACAACTTCAACAATGCAGGACTTTGACTGCTAAATCATTTGCCATGATATATTAAAGATATACCAGTACTATGTAAGTTCAAAAACGCCTTGAAAACTTACCTACTCGATCATTGTTTTTATAAAGTGGATGAGTTTCTCTCGTGTGAGACAAACACTATTCAATTATAATCACATAATTCATGAATAATCGGTTTTGGGAATCCCTACTGCGCAGTTTTCCTTTCTTTTTTCCAGCAACAAAGATAACACAGTCGGAGATGTACCTGAATGGGCTACTCTGGAGAGATTGCAGATACCAAGAAGTTGCACCAGGAAGGGCGAACAGATGTAATGAGATGTTGCAGTGTAGAGTCTACAATGAAACGTTATACCAGTGCTATCACCAAATTCACCAATATTATCTCTAAGGCTGTGCCATAGCTTAAGTGGTTAGTCACTACTGCTGCGGTCTAGTCAGGTGGGATTTGTGATGGACAAAGTGGTGCTGGGGCAGGTTTTCTCCGAGTACTTCGGTTTCCCCTGCCAATCCTCATTCCATCAAATTCTCCAGAAGCATAATCACAGTACAGGTACAATAGGACATATGGAGGCTGACGTACCGAGGGGACCCTTTGCCTATTTGAGTCCTATTAAGGATTTCTATTGTTTTTTATGGTCACCATTGATGTAACATCCTGGCATTGGAAGAATTATTGCACTAGAATTAGCAGTGGGCACTAGTATATAAAAGCAAGCATGAAATATTTTGAAGGCTGGAAATGTGAAGAATGTTATGTGAAAGTAGTATACCTCTATGACCCAATATTGCACTGGACAAACAAGGATGTTTGGATGTAGAAATATTGCACTTCCTGCCTATTGCACATTATCATTCCAAACCTTATAGCAACATGAAAGTATTATGAAAATTGTGAAATTTTGGGGGGAGGAATAGTAGCAGTGTTGTCATACATATACTGAACCCCAGTTTAAGACATGTGCAAGGCAGTAAATTTAGGGTCATGTAGCATTCTAATATGTTTACAAAGACAAAGAAATGCTCTCAGATAAAATCTAACTTTCCACAAAGGTGCAATGTGAATGAGTGTTGGCAGGCTCTACTGCAGGAAGCGTCCATTGTCAGAACTCAGGCATATTGGACAACTGCAGTGTGTGTTCACATTTTAACATGGTCAGGGCATGGCAAATGGCAAAGAATAAGCATTTAGGATAACTTGATTATTTAGTCACTTGTTTCTTGTGGAAATGGAACAGATGATATGACAATTAACAAGTGAAGCTGAGGTAAGCCATGTAATTAGATCGTGCTCATTTTACACCTGAATGAAAACAAAGAATCTATGAGAGATTTCAAGTTCTTGGCTTTAAAGTGCCTGTCCATTATAAGAGGGCAAACATCAAAATATGTCTAGTAGCCAAGCAGTTTGTAAGTCTGCTTTGTACTGAAAATGGCAATATACAAGATAGCTGAGAATACAGGAATGAGGAAATGGTCAATATGTAAATAATTTATATCTGGGTGAAGATTAATGGCCTACAAACCTTTAAGTGAATTAAAATGATATGCTACATGACTTATTCAAAATTACAAAACTCTTTTCATTTCCATATTATTAAAGATAATCACTCTAGCTCAAGGGCCTCCAAACTACGGCCTGCGAAAGAATTGTGCAGAACTGCACCAGTCTGTACATAAGTGTACGGAGAGCAGTGTGTGTAGTGTAGTTGATGTGTATAATAAAGTAAGTGATTATTAAAAGTCAGTGGTTACAGTTACATAATATTCAATTTGTAATTGAATAAATTTATTCATATATTTGCTTGTACAGAGATCTCATAATTTTAATAATTTCATAATTATACATAAATTAATTTATTTAAACATTTTAAATTAACAAGAGTGTACATAGTAAAATTATTAGAATATTTTTTATTTTTATTCAGTATTCATTTTATTATTAATTTTTGTATTATTATTTTTTCAAGTTTTAACATGAACGGAAAAAAGAAAAGAAAAATTGATGATGGAATGTCGTGAGTTTAATGAAGAATGGGGCGTAAAATACTTCTTCATACAATCGAATTCAGAGGCTAAAGCTTATGTCTGATATGTAAAGATACTATTGCTGTGTTGAAAGAATACAGTATACATCGTCACTATGACACGAAGCATGCTTCAACGTTTTCACAATTTAAAGAAAAGCAGCATTCAGATAAGTTTGAATCATTCTGTCATCGTCTGCGTTCTCAGCAAGACTTATTTATGAAAGCAACATCAGAAAATGAAGCCTTAACCTTGGTAAGCTATAAGGTTGCTTATGTGTTGGCTAAAAAAGGAAAACCATTCACTGATGGCCATATCATCAAAGAGTGTATGATGGAAGCAGTGACTGAGTTGTGCCCTGAAAAACTTAATCTTTTTAAAATGATAAGTCTTGCACCAAATACTGTTGCTCGTTGGATTGAAAATATGGGAAATAATACTGTCCAGCAAATTGTAGGCAAAGCACAGTGTTTCAGTTGGTATTCTCTTGCGCTGGATGAATCAACTGGTGTTTGTAACACCTCTCAACTATTAGTATTTTTTGTGGCGTCGACGATGAACTTAATGTCACACACGAATTAGTGTCACTTCACAGCATGCATGGCACCACAACAGGAAATGATATCTTGAAGAAATACAAATAAACACTAACAGAATATAATTTGGACTGGAACCGTCTGCAGTGCGTGACAGTTGATGGAGGAAAAAACATATCTGGTATAAAAATAGGTTTGGTTGGCCAAATCACAAAAGCTTCTGAGGATGCAGGAATATCAAAGCCAATGTTTCTTCATTGTGTTATCCACCAACAAGCATTTTGTAGAAAACATGTTTATATGAGCTCTGTTTTAAAACCTGTTATTTCTATAGTTATTTTCATTCGCTGTCATGCACTTAACCATCGCCAGTTTCGGTCTTTTCTCGAGGAATGTGATTCCGAGCTTATTGACCTGACATATTATACTGCAGTTCGATGGCTTAGCTGTGGAAAGGTTCTTTCGCGCTTCTTTCAGCTCAGGAATGAAATTGATATATTTTTACCGAGAAAAACCATCATGAACCACTTTTATCAGATACCAAGTGGCTTTTGGAAATTAGCATTTCTTGCTGATCTGGTGAACCATATGAACAATTTGAATTTAAAGTTGCAGGGAGAAAATAACTTAGTCTGTGATTTATTTGCACTTATCAAGGCATTCAGAGCAAAGTTGATACTTCTAGAAAGCCAAGTGAAAAATTGTAATTTTGTTCATATGCAGAGTTGCATAAAAAGGGTGAAGCAGAATTTCTTTCCTCGTTTACAAATTTAGTCATTTCAGATTTGAAAGAACAATTTCGGAAGCGATTTGCTGATTTCGATGCCAGAGCTCAGGAAATTAGATTGTTTCAAAATCCGTTTGACTGTAATGCTGGAGATGTCCCAAGTCAAATTCAAATGGAAATTACTGAACTGCAGGAAAATTATCATATTAAAGACAAATACAAGGAAGGAAATTTGATCGAATTTTATAAATTTCTGAACTCTGAGCAATTTCCAAATTTAAAGAAATTTGCTTGTAAATTTATCTCCATTTTTGGGACGACATATCTGTGTGAACAAACTTTTTCCCAGATGAAGTACATCAAGTCGAAATACAAGGCAAATTTATCCGATGAACATTTAAAATTGCTACTTGTGATTAGCATTTCAAATTTGAACCTCAATTTAATCAGATTTTAAGAATGCAAGAAAAGTTCCATCATTCACATTAATTGTTTTATTATAATTTGTGATGAAAATATGAGCATTTGGTGCTACTGTCTGTTGTCATTAATATATGATAATTTATTCTCATGTACTTTGTATTTAGTTTATGAAATTCTGTGCTTTCAATAAAACTCATATAGCTAGAGTTATTAATTTCTCATTTTATCTGGCCTGTTGAAAGTGCTGAATTACCTAATGTGGCCTGCGTTTCAAAAAGTTTGGAGACCCCTGCTCTAGCTGAAACATTAATTACTGACTTCTCAAGCACCACAAATGATGAGCTATATAAGTTACTATTGTGTATTTGTATACTGACAACAGAAATTTCAATTTTTAAAAGTGTTTGTATTTTATCTTTTCACAAGTTGAAACCTCTTATCAACTATTCCTTTCACTGATCATTCTTGTAAACTACCTCACTAATGTACAAATATTAAATGGCTGCATTTCACTCTTATACAATACTGATAGGTTTATTTTGAACATACTGTGTATATGATACCATCTAATGAATGAATACTAAAAGAAAATAGTGATAGATTCAATTACAAAAGACACGTAATTTCATTTTTTTTCTTGAAGATTGTTGATAATTATCTGATTAACTGAATACACAACAGAGTGGATCATTGAAAAAAAATATTACACATTACTGCATATAGAAAGCATGGTTGATTATACTTTGTGTGAAGGAAACTATAAAATGCTTTTCTAATACTGTTATTACCCAAGTTTCTTGAGAAGACTTTCTAGTGCTACACATTTTCTTCTTTCCACTTGTATCACCTCTGCATGCATTTCTTTTAACAGAGTCAGACGGTGCTCTTCGTCTATCCTGTACTGTTTCATGAATTCCAGGAACCAATATGGTGGTGTTTCTGTAGATCCTTCACAATCACTTAATAATGACTTATTGCCATACACTGAAAAAGTTTCTGTGTTAGGTTTCTTATTAACTGGAATACCATTTTCGTCACATAAAACAATTTGAGGGTAAGAAACTATGTGATTGTTAAGACTGGATACATCCAGTACCTCAGCGTATACTTGAGGTGCTACGACAGCTGATAATCGAGGTAACTTAGAGGAGCTGGCAGTTAGTCCTACAGGAGATGTCCCTGCAGAGATAGATTCTTGATCATCCAGTGATGGAGGGGACAATGTACGGGATTTTCGTAGCCCCTCATCACTTCCTTGAGGAGTAAACAGTTCTTCCAGATCACTGTAAAACTCCCATCGTCTCTTACTCTTTGCAGATCTGTGCTGATTGTAATAGATAGTTTTGAAGGTGTGTTTTAAATTTCTCCATTTGCGATCACACATATCCCATGTGACATCACATCCTCTTTGGCACATATTATTTGCTAGTTCATACCATAAGTCTTTCTGTTTCTTATGAGGATTCCTGAAGTCTGTAACTAAATTTCGATATTCCTCTATCAAAATCTGAGTCATCCCACGTGTCCAGGAGGCTTTATAGGTTTCTGTTAAGAAATAAAAATCTTCCTCATTGATCCTAAATATACTGCCTTCACTTCAAAATATGCTTCCAGAAGGCAAAGAAAGGTACACAAACAGCAAGCAAGGCATATATCAATTACATGAAAGCTTATTTGCAAAATAATTGCTAAGAGCAGCTTCCAGCTGATCTTTCTTTCAGCATGACACAAGGAAGTCAGCTTTAGCTGTTCTCATTATTCCTGTCACTCTACAGTATAAATTTTCACCTTTGGTGCAACCAAGTACCTAGCCAAAGTTATAGCACCAGGGGTCTATTGTCATCATATTAATATAAAATCATTTATTCAGTTTTACACATCTCTTCAGGAAAGCTATTAAAATTGCTCCATCCATCCACCTGTATGCATGAAACAACTTGAGAACAGATTAAAATGTAAAGTTATCCCTGTAACAGGCCGTGAAGGCCCATAGGGTTGTGAGACATTGAGGGTCCAACATCATCTAGACAGTCAGCTCATAAATGGCTGTGAGGCTGTCAGCGTTACATGCCTGCCACCCTTTACCCCCCCAGGAAAATACCTGGTACTCATTTCTGTTAAAGGTTGAGTCAACCCCAAGGCCATACTGTGCCTGGAAGGATGGGGGGGGGGCTTGTTGGGACTCGTGTCCATGACCTTCCGACTTGTAGCATAGTGCCTCAACAAACTATGCTACCAGAAACTTAGTCTTAACTAGTCAGGTTACCTAAAATAAGGTACTCATGGAATTAAAAGAAGCACAGAAATCACTTCCATTCTCACACTGGCCACATTTTCTTAAGGGTAATATGAACAGCATGGCATTCATAATTCTTTCTGTAAAATGTGTCTGGATTAAGTGATACAGTAGCTCTTCAAATAGATGCAACAGGATAAATGCCTCCCAACCTCTTCATCTGAGGATGGATACAGAGCCAGTTTATGAAACATTGTTCCGTTCATGAAACTATGTGACAGGCAATGTCATGCACCCATTAATACTACATGCAAGAATGAGTTAACTGAAGGATACAGTTCTTCAGTTCTACCTCTTGTATGTGATCTGTAAAATCAACTCAGAAATTTCTCAAAATTCTAACAGAGTAAAAGTTCCCTATAGCAAAGTTTGTGGGCCTTGAAAGGCATGTACCTTTGACATCCCACAGTACCTTTATGCAGAGGTTGTAATTCATACAAAAATGTATTGTACCATTTCAGAGCCCTGTTCCCTCAACCCACTTTTGTCAGGTTAATTATATGTGGGTTCTACTGTTATATATTTGGTGGGGATCTTTTCTTTTTAGATCATACAATACTACCATCTTGATTTTAAAAACATTTGTAATGGTATACAAGAATACAACAGAAACATGTATTACCTAGGGGTTCATCTGGTGAACAGATAATGAACTTTGTGTCTCCATGTTTGACTTGCTTCAGTTTTTGATATCCATCAGCCTGAGAAATGTACTGATGATCCACTATGTCACACTGCATGCTGACACTTCTCTCCTCACCATCCTCTTCCTCAACCTTGTCCTCTTTATCACTTCCTTGAAATTCTTCTGCTTCACACTGAGTTGTATCACCATCATGTGAAACTTCAGAAACCGCAAAGTCTTCAACATATAAATTACTTGAATATGAGGTCCTCTTTGCTGAAAAGTAATCAGAAGAAAAGAAAAGTAACACAAAATAAGAGGTAAAGTCACCCTCTGAGTATTTTTTTTTCCTTGGCACTACAGCCCCAGTGGGCCTAGGCCTACCTCCATGAACTTCTCCGTTCACTTCGGTTTTTCTAAATCTTAGACATATGGTAGGACTCCTTGGGTGGGTGATCAGCTTGCTGCAAGGCCTCTACCTGTACACAAACACAGAAAAACGCACACAAACATCCATGCCCTGAGTGGGATTTGAAACCACGATCCCGACTTCCGAGTGAGCGAAGACAGTGCACGCCTTAGACCGCTCAGCTACCGTGACCGGCATCCCTCTGAGTATACATCTATGTAATTTACTTTCTTATGCTGATTAAATACTCTTAAAACCCTGACATGTTCCGTTCATACATGACCATCTTCAGGGAGGATACCAAATATTAAAGGAAACTTTACAACCTGATAATATGAATAAAAGATTTAAAATGTCAGTTGTAAAATTTTGACAGAAAGTTAAAATTATATTAAATTTCACTGATGTGAACCACTGTTAAATGCAACTTCCACCATAACTAGAACATCATATTATATGTGCTGCTGTCTCATTGTGACTGGACTTAAGAAGAGAAACTGGGGCAATCACCCTTTGGCCTCCAGAAAACAGAAACATAAGGCACAGATGGTATTGAGACATCCACTTTCCTAAAACCATGAAAAGTTGGCTTGTATTTTAGTTATCAGAAGAAATACAAACCAAAACAACAAAAAAGAAATGTCATAACCTAAATTTGTTATTATTGATAGGGACCCCCCAAAAAGGTAAATCTGGCCCTGTGCCTGACGCTAGTTTTTTATTTTGACTGTGAAAGGTGTAATAGCCAAATTAGCCCCATAAAAAAATAAAATTTCTACACAGAAATGAAGCAACAATAATGTATGCCACTCATTGTGACTATACAGTCTAACACATGAAATGTCTTCACCTGCTAAAACACTGGAATCGTGGATTTGAATCCTACTCAAGGCATGGATGTCTGTCCATGTCTGTTTGTGTTGCTTTGTGACAGCTGATCACCCATCAAAGGAGTTCTACCAATGTCTATAAAATCCACAGTTCCATATTAATCTGATGGAACTGGCCAGATGGCCTAATATGAAAAGCAGAAGAAGAATAAGTATAACATAGGAACATTACCAACCATTCAAAAATTTTAGTTCTAAATTCTTGATTATGTGTTATGGGAGAGATGTGTAAAAATAAACTTCTTTGTAACATGAAATATGCAAGATAAATTTCCTGAAACAATTATTTTAATGCATCAGTAAATTATGGAAACTCAGTTAAGTTTTTCAAAAACTAAATCCTATATGAATTCCTCCATTTTCAGAAGTCATTGTAATTGCCGTAGCATATAGTACTACCAAAATCTATTTGATGTGGCATATTTGGTTTTAAAAATATTTTATGTATTTTATAATATTTTGGAAAGAAGGGGGGTTGAAAGGGAAAGAGAAATATAATATTTGAATGTGTACATTCAACAAAGTGTTTAGGATGCAGAAAAGGATAATTAGGATTATAACAAATACAACAAAGAGAACATCGTGTCGTAGTTTGTTTCAAGAATTGGATATCCTCCCCCTACAAGCTCAATATATATTGTCGATCTCTCTGTTTGCCATAGTAAATAAGGAATTGTTCACATTCAACTCACAAATGCATAATTGTAGTACCAGATCTATCTGTGATCTGCATTATCCGCAAACTAGTCTGACACAATTCCAAAAAGGAATATGTTACATGGGGGTAAAGATCTTTAATCATTTGCCACCAAAAATCAAATCTATGTCTAATGACTTGAAAAATTTTAAAATTCAGTTGACAACATTTTTATTGCAAAACTCTTTTTATACATGTGATGAATTCTTTAGTAACAAATTTGCCTAGAAATAAGGATAATAGCATAAACAATTTTAATATTGCATAATTTTATGTATAGTGATGTAAGACTGTTTTTTTGATATAAATTTAACACATTTTTTTTATCTATTTTAATGATTATGAACTGTACATATATATTTATATTTGTGTTGTACTATATTAATTATGTGACTGGTTCTATATCTATGTATATGGATTTATGGAATATACAATAAATGAATGAATGAACAAAAGGGAATAAAAAAAGCCCGACTGAATGTTGTTTATTATAACTACTCGATGATATGGTTTTACATAATGTAAATATGTACCTCAATACACTGGAGAATGGGGGAAAAAGCACGCGATTGAATGTTGCTTATAATAATTACTTTGAAAGGAAATGGATAATTTGTTTCATAATTATATAATTTCATTATACTGTTAGTCACTGACAGAGAAGAAAATAAAACATGGAGAGTGTTTTAAATATTAAAAAAATATTAGAAAACAAATTTATTACGACTGCTGATCGAGAAAAAAACACGAGAAATTAGTTTTTTTCGTTTGTTTTATAATTCTGTATTCCTATTAAGTTGCTACTTTTCGGTAGAGAAGAAAATTAAAAGTGTAACTTAAAATGTTCAAAGAACAAAACAAACACCGTGGCATGTAGTCCGCAAGTGAACTATACCGACCGAGAGACCGCCGCTTGTTGGTGAAGTTAGTGTCAACTTTGGCGGATAGAGGGTGTCGCGTGGTCAGCGTAACGGGCCTTTTCTGTAAAGTAAAAAAGTAAAGCTATCCCCGTACCAGGCCGTGAAGGCCCATAGGGTTGTGAGACGTTGAGGGTCCCACATTATCTAGACAATCGGCTCAAAGATGGCGGTAAGGTTGTCAGCCCTACGCGCCGGCCGCGCTTTACTCCCCAGGAAAACTATTTAATTAATTCCTTGTGCTCATTTCTGTTAAAGGCTGGGTAAACCCCAGGACCTAGTGCGGCTGGAAGGATTAGGTCAACTGAAAAAAATCCAATGACCTCATCGGTACTTGAACTTGTAGCAGTGCACCTCAACCACTACGGTACCGCGTGGCCCCCGGGCCTTTTCTGTATTTAACAAGATTTTTTCTACAATAAAAAAAAGATCCTCACGGCCGTTAATCTCGGTTTTCTACACTGGAGCCGCTATTTCCTTGAAATAGCTTCTCTGTTATCCTCGTGAGGCTGAGTGGACCCCCTTCCAGACCCAATACTTCTCAGAAAACCTAGTAGCGACGTGAATCGAACCCGGGACCTCTGGATTTGTAGCCAGGAACTCTAACCACTAGACCGGAGAATACTTTTCATGACCAACCCTCCTGCGCTCCCCTTCAAGTCAGAACCAAAATGTTTACAACTCTATACAATTGTGTACTCAATCAGGGAAATGGGACAAATTCCATAGTCTTCTTTGTACTCAAAAATCCTGATATGTATCAGGTGAATAATGGCATACACAAATTAAGTACTAGGTGGCATAATAAACTACATGTTTCCTTTGTGAGATTATCTTCCATTCAAAAGAGTGTGCATTTTTCATCCATTAGAATATTTAATAACCTGCCATACAATATATATTCCTTGAAAGACAATATTAATACTTTTAAACAAAGGCTAAAAGATTATCTTATTTTAAATGCATTTTATTCGGTGGATGAATACATGGCATACAGGCAAGCATAATACTTTATTGTTGTTTTTCCAAGATTATGTATTATCTAGATTTGTTATATGACTGTTTTTTATTTTATTATTGTGTTTTTATTTTATAATTCTTGAATATTTTAATTGTTGAGACTAGATTGCATTTTGCTGACGAATTCAATATCCAGTCCGGTTTCCGGACAATGGATCTGTGAAATTATGTATCTATGTATGTATGTAAATTCAAGCACGTCATTCAAACACCGGAAAACCCAACAATGGTCCACGGCAGTCGGTAATAACAGAGAAGTTAAACAATAATTTACCGTAATCTACACGATAACGAAGACAGCGAATACGACAGCGAGTCTAAATATAATGTACAAGTTTATGCTTATTGTAAAATATATTAAGGTCGTTGTAATTACCTTTCTTTGTTGTTGATATTGAACTTCCCTCCATTTCGAAATTACATATTATTTCAGAGCTCACATCAGTTACAACAACCGTTGAAATAAGCTCCAAATGTTGCACAAGACCAATTACAGAGTCTGTCGACCATTAATGAAAAAAGAATCGAATATCTAGTACCTTTTATGCAAATATCAAATATTTCAATGTATAATGACTTCTGAATTATGATATCACCCTATCACTGCAACTTTAACATATTTAATTCAAAATTTACATATTAAATGTAATCAGAAATGGCTTCTAAAAACTTTTCACCGTACCCTCAACGAACTCAGCACTTCAGCGGAACTAAGCGATCCCTAATCCCTAAGACCAGAGTATGGCACAGATACGACCAACTGGTATAGCAGGTATGGACGTGCTTAATAGTCATATACGCATATAACCACTGCCATCTCTACGCAGATCATAGTCTGGAACCACTCACAATACACCTATCGTATCTTATTTGTTTCAACTGCGTAAAGATGGCAGCAGTAATGCTATTGTTATGGCACGGCTAACATTTTGCACGCAAATCATATTGAGTTGCCAGGCGCTAGATTCTGTAGCTGTCTAGCGCGGTGGAGCGTTTGAAGTTGAAATACGGTAAATATAAATTTGGCTTTTGAGTTTATGCATTGTAACAAAAAACTGAGTATCATGATAGAATATATGGATAAAGTACCTATTTTTACTAACGATAAAGGAGAACCATACCGATTATTTATACACGAGTGCCCAGAAAAAGAAAGAATTGCCGAAATGATCGAAGTAAGTGAACGTAACCTAGAAACAAAATGTTATATACGTTATATAAATGTTGAAGTACGCGAATGGAATATTTGTGGTAGGGAGCGACGAAAGGGGAAGTCACAAATCTGAGTCAGTAAAATATGGCCGCGAGCCCCAAGGGACTCGGACCCGAGAATGATTGCCCTGGCAAGGACCAGCAGCATATGTAAAAGATAGACCCGTCCTCTCGTCAGAGAGGGCACCCCACAAAAGCAAGACCGTAACTGTCAGACTGTAATAAATATCTGGTCATGAGCCCTAGATGGGGCACGACACCAAGACTGACAGACTGACCGTCAGTTGCAATGTCACTTGGACTTGGAATATTTGTAGCAGGATTGCAATTATGTACACGTTCTGGTTTGTTCCTGGATAATGGTGTAAGATTATTAGGATTAGGATTACGATCATCCTGAGAGTGACGGCATGTATGCTGGTAGATTGTTGTTGAACAGGTGAGCTGTTTTGTTTAGGACGAGGCCAGACTGCCTTTAGGTGGAATGTACGAGTGTTATTTGTGAGAACCCACTCTTTATCACTTAAGTGACATTGCTGTTCCTCAGTCTTCAATCTTCTGGTTTGCTTATCATCTTTTTTCCACGAATCATTGTTTTTTCCTTTATTATTATTATTATTATTATTATTGTTGTTATTATTATTATTATTATTATTATTATTATTATTATTATTACTATCCAAATAATCGGATAAGTTTCACTGTAAGGAATATCTTTGGATTTATCAGATCATGCACTGTCATCACTTTCGTCTACTGGCAGAAGTATCATCACTCTCATTTGCTGACAACTGTTTTGGCCTGTGGTGCTGCACTAAAATCACAAATCACTGATACCAATGGGCAAATTTCTCTCTGCTGTTGCAAAACATTACAAAAAGTACTAAGGAGAATATTTTGACATGAGGTAGAAGTAATAAATGCAGAGAAGTCACGTGGAAAATTTTGTACACTTCATTTAATATTTCTGTGGTGGTCAAATCAAGACCTTAAAGAATGGATAATGTAATTGGGCATAGTACCTAGATCAGTGAGGGATGAAGTTAGTTATTTATAAAACAGATGGAGAAATGAAAATTGTGTCACAATTTCCTTTGTCTTGTAAGACTAATTTTTAAACATGTAGTACAGAATATGCCCTTTTATACTGTATTTAAAAAAACAGTACATTTCTTCTTCATGCCAAGAACTGCCAATCAGAAAATATGGACTTCCAGTATGCATACTTTGTAACACTGCCTTCACATCCAGTGTCTGTTAACAGTTTTTTACATTCAGTCAATCTTAAGAGACATTTACATTCCCATTGAAAGAATACACTACCTATTAATTTTCGTTTCTAGACGGATATAATTTCCTGTAATAGGGCTCAATGTAAATGAAATTTTGAATTAATCTGTTATCTGTGTTAATTTCACATTTCAGAGTGGCTTTGGAACAGTGGAGAGTTGTCCAGTAGGTGAAAACACTATAGTACTTGCAGCACCAGTATTTCATGCTGGTAAAAATGAAATTTTTTCAATTGAGTACATTATTGCCTGCTGCTCAAGAAATAAGAAGCTGAATATTAAGGACTTCAGGTATTCTGTGTTCACAATACGTATGAATGTAGTTGTTATACTCTTTTAAATTTGTAATAATGTGAGTGAGATTTTTGATGCACTGTAACACATTACAGAATTGGACATAATTAATAATACTGAATTTCAGGTGTTAAAATTACAGCTGTCACTTAACTTATGCTAGAAAGAATTTCTCTATTTCTTACTTGAAAAATGTTATTTCCAGTACAGTCTTCATGGCATTTGAAATTACAACATTTCAGAATGGAGTTGGGGGGGGGGGGAAT